TTTAATCAGAAACTTGGGTTTAAAAAGGGGTTTAGATATGAGAGCAAAGATGAGGGTGAGGATGGATGTTGGATTATGCACGAGTATACTTTGGAGTCTTCTTTGTTGCCCCCACAACATCCCAATGATTATGTTCTTTGCCGAATTAGAAGGAATGTGCCATGTCTGAAGAAGAAGAGGAAGAAGGATTCTTGAGCACACCAAGGCTTTCAAAATATCCAAGTTTTGTCTTGTCCAAAGAAGAAGAGTAAAAAGACAGATTCTGAAGCACAACAGGGCTTTCGAAATACCCTCGTTGATGAAAAAAGAAACTAGAGCGGTTTTGCCATGTCCAAACAAGAAGCGTAGAAAGACAGATTCTGAAGCACAACAAGGGTTTCAAAATACCCAAATTGAAGAAGATTCTGTAGCGGTTCTGTCATGTCCAAAGCAGAGTAGAAAGATAGATTCTGAAGTACAACAAGGGTTTCAAAATACCCAAGTCCAGGAAGAATCCGAAGTGGTTCTGCCATGTCCAAAGGAGAAGGGTGAAGAGACAGTCTGAAGCATCAACAGCGATTAGTTCTTGCTCGACTTTGGAAACACAGGGCCAGAAGCTGAAAAATCGCTACAAGGATAATTCGTCATAATATAACCATAAATTTCTAAGAACCCATTGATTGCTTTCGGCTCTCCATATTACTGTAATCATCTTCTATTTCTCCATATTGAGAAGTAAATGCACCTTTTAGGGTCCAAGCTGTTGGGCACATCAATATATCCATTTCACCATTTGGGTATTTCTGCTGAACAAGAAAAATGTACAACTTTCTTAGGGCAAAGTGTATGCAAGTTAATATGTTATAGTAGATGCAAGTTCTAATTATCTGCTTCCTACAAGTTTGAATCATTTATTTATGTAACATATCCCAAAGAAGTCGACGAAGAACTATGAAATTAATTAATGTGGTATTCAACATGAACCATGGCTCTAAATTGCCATTTGCGACTCGTTAAAATAGTAAATAAGCTTTTCGAAACAGTAATGAGCACAACAGTGAAGAAGCAAAAGATAAAGTTGCCTACTGGTCAGGCATGAGGTACATGAGAAAGATCAATATGGTGTAGTAGAAACTTGCAAATATGGAAGCCACTTGGTAAGTTGGGGTCAATGAAACAAAGCAGCATGCGAAGTAATTGAAAAAGAGCTGAGTACGAAACACAGTGTAGAAGTACAAAAATCCTTTGTATCTGATCTGGAGAAGTTATCAATACATAAGTGATTGTGAGAACAAAAACTGCCTGAAGGAATGTATATGGATTTCAATTCATCACCGAAACATACAGAGGGGACGGTCATATTAAAGTATGTATGATTAAAATTTACATATCAGCTGTTCATAGTAAACAGTGATCTTTGAAATTTTTTACCTGCGCCAATGAATACATCCATGAGGAGTACATTCCAGCAAACTTCCCGTAGACAACAAGTACGCTCGGTTGCTTGAACGGAATTACAAATGAACAGTTGCATCCGATCATTGCAACAAAGTGATCACAGATGCCAGTATGTTGAAAAGATCCTGACTATATATAACTTCAGGGCATGGAACATGATATTAGATAATTCATAAATAATCGTGCTTTTAAAGTCAGAAAGTTTGAATGTGTGCTAGAAGTACAGTGAGGACAAATGAGAAGATTAGCATGTTGCTAGTAAGGGTACTTGTTTATGTATAGGGAGTACTTAAATGTTCTAGGGCCTGGCTAATGCATTCTTTGAACATGAAAAGTGGGGATTGATGATTTTGTTGGATGTTATTTAGATAAAAAAAAAAAAAATAATTTACTAAAAAAGTTATGTTAGAATTTATGACTTCCAGATGATGCATTAATGTATGAAGTCTGTAAATGGCTTACATCTTCTGTCCTTTCTGCTCATAGAACTGCTCCAAGTAACAAAGATGATACAGTAACAAATGCCAACCGCACCAGTTATAATGGGACTTCTCAGTATGTAAGGTGTTGTTCTTAAAGGCATGCTTTAAATTGTTCCCATCCATTTTGTGAAAAGCGTGTGGAAAAATGTAGTGTTTTGAATCATGTGGGCGGCTCAATTCTCTGACCAGTTCTGTGCTTTCCCTATATATAAGAAAAAGGTAACACTATAGTGACAACATCTTGTGGGTTTTGATAAATTTGTTGTAGAAAAGCTACCGGCATAAATGAGACTCTTTGTAGAGATGGGAAAAATCCAAGCCAAGTTGACGTCCATGGAAAGATTAGTGACCTCTAACATCCACGTCGCTGGTATTAAATTTCTTTGATTTTTAGCACCCCAGAAATCCCCTGCTATGTAGTCATATTGTTAGTTTCTTATTGCTTATGGGTGAAGTTAACAAACAGAGCAAAATTTCTTCTGCAGCTTGCCTTCTGGAGATCTTGATTTAAAATTTAAATGAGGAAACTTACTAAGCAGAAAATGAGAATGAAATGAAAACTCTGTATATTTCCTTACTCATAAGCTACCTCAAGTATTCAATAAGCTTGCTTGAATGCTGACCCAGCTCTCCAGAATATTATCTCGTTCCTCCAATTTTCATCAAATTAGCTGCAGGTGTACCAATTAAATTAATAAAACAGAAAAAAAACTGTACTCCATGTTATTTACTTCATGCTTCGATTGGTATTAATGATTAATGAAACTGTTAGGCCCATAATCACAATATGTATGATTGGTGACCAATATTTTGATCATGGTCATATATATTTATACTTTTTGATATAAAAACAATTAATTATAAATATTACAATTTTTTTTAAAATCTGAGGTAGGCCCTCAATGATGCTGGATCCGTCCTTGATAATATTCATGGATGAACCCACCTCTTAGATGCACGGGGCTAACTAATCCACGGCTTTTGTATCTTTAATTTTATTTAGTGACCACGCTCTTTGTCTTGTCGCTCAGTGGAGTTAATTTTTGAAGGCCCAAATTGTTCAACCTTTTAGTATTCAAGGTGTCACACTATTTCTGTTTTATTAGTTTTAGTATGATATTATTTATTTTAATTTAGTTATTTTAAGATTGAATCATTTTTATTTTTTTTTAGGGTTTTATTCTAATGAAAAAAGACATGAATCTTATGAATTTGTTTTGTTTTATTGATTTGTAATTAGTTGAAAACATTATTATCAATTTGACTTTAGATATAACAAATACATTTATAAAATTAATTTTTATATAATTAAAAGACAACTTGATTTGCACAAATCATAATATATTAATAATGGTATTTTTATTATTTTATAATGTAATTAGTTGGCTAAGTATGTTCTAATATAATTAAATTAAATCTAATTAATCTATGCCAATAATTTAAATGTTGGGAAATTGATTAATAAATTATATAAGTTTTTAAATTTCCTAAATGATTTTAAATAAAGAAAATTAACACAATAAAATGCTTAATTAATTACTAAAATAATCTTTAATTAAATCTAATTGGACATTTAAAAACGTGATAAGTCAGTCTTTGAATTTTATAATTAAAGTTCATAGTCTTTCTTTTAATGATTATACTATTTTTTTTTACTTGTAGTTATGATATCCAATTATTTTAAGAGATTAAAAGAAATTCCACTAGAAAATATGTTTCCTTGTGAATTGGATGTTATTTTCAAAATATTTACTTGAGGTTTTGCTTAAGGTTTGGTGGTTTTTAAAAGTTTTCAAACGTTGTTTGGAAACAATGCAAAGCCGTGGAGGTCCTGGGAAAAAATCCTGGCTCCGTCAATATTAAGGAAGGATTAGAGAAGTTCTACTGCTATAGTTAACCGTTTTCGCTACTGGCTTGGATACCGCTAATACCAGGCATCCCAACTAAAGCATCTTTGATTTACTCCAGTTCAATCATTTGAGAACTTCTGCTACAAATTCCTGCTAGATAAAAAGTTGACCAAACATTGAAAAATGATTATTTTCAGACCTGTACTCCTTTTTATGTATGATAGTCTTGATTTTATTTGTATGTCTTGTTTTTGCAACATCCGATAAAATAGCTAAAGTTTTTGTAGGTTTTTCAGGGTTCTAAAGCTAAGAGAAAGAAGGTTATTTGTGCATGAGAGAGAGCTAAAACAGAAGAGAAAGAACTGATACAAAAACAGTTTGCGTGTTTTCATTCAAAACAGAGAAAATAAGAACCTAATATATCACTGTTACAACTACTTTTCAGTATAAAATTAAAATATAACAATTGAACCACTCTTAACAAACACAAATTCACTGAGATTTTGTGGCTTAATCACCGGCTGTCTTCACCTAAAACATCATTAAATAACTTCCAAAAAAGGATGGGAACTGCACATGACAGAAGCCCTTTTAATTAAAAACCTGGCGCAAACTTTCAAACCAACCATGCAAATGATTTCCAGCAAAATATTACTTCAACATTCCTCCTTGATATTTTTGCTGGAAACTCCAAGTCTGAATCTTAATGCTTCCAACTGGATCTGCCTAAAGGTTGGTCATTATGTCAGCCACTTGCTCCTCTCCCTGCAATGAACAGATTTACTTCACCTCTGCTTGCCTCTCTCACTGCATGATATTTGATTCTGATATGCTTTGTGGACATGGAGTACTGGATTCTTGGACATAGCAATGTTGATGGTTGCACAGTGCAGCAAATTCCTTGAGTCTATACAGCCTTAAGTCTTTCAAGATCTTTCTCAGCCAAACCAACTGGTTGACTGCAGCAGCAGCCGATACATATTAGCTTCAGCAGTGGGTTGTGCTAACAACCTCGCTTTTTGAATTCCAGCTTATGGCACTGCATTCACAAAGAAAACATATCCAGAGGTGCTTTTATGTCATCCAAGGAGCCACCCCAATCACTATCAGTGAAACCATGCAAACTGAAATTTTCAGCTTCCTTAAACCATATCCAGGTCTGGACATCCTCTAATGTATCTGAGGACTCTTTTGCTGCTTGCAAAGCAGCTCACTTGGTTCATTCATGAACCTAGGAGTAAACTTGCTGCAACATAATGTCTGGCCTTATTGCAGTCAAGTCAACAAGCACCCAACTATGCTTCTGTACTTGTTTCATCAACTTAGCAGCACCATCATTTTTACACAGCTTCACATTTTGCATCAGAGGTGTGTTGACAGGTTTGCAGTTCTCCTTGCAAATTTTTGAGAGTTCATTAGCATACCTCTCTTGGGAGATAAATATGCCATAAGGGGACTGCCACACTTCCATTCCCAAGAAGAAACTCATCTCCCCTAAGTCGGTCATCTCAAATTCCTTGTGCAACTCCTTCTTGAAATCCAGCAGCCTAGTGGAGTTAGGACCTGGCACCAGCAGATCATCAACATACAAGGATACAATATCCTTTCATTATCAACCTCTCTAACATATAAGGTATGCTCATTAGGACTTCTTTCAAACCCCAAACTATGGAATTCATTAATTCTGCTGTACCAGGCCCTAGGGGCTGTTTTAATCCATAAGAGCCTTCCTAAGAAGTACACCATACCTCTGTCCTTCAACCGTATACCCTTCAGGTTGCTCACAAAGATCTCTTCATCAAGCCACCCATTCAAGAAAGCAGATTTCACTCCATTTGGAAGACTTTCACTTAAGTGGCTACAATTGCAAGAAGGATTCTGATGGTGTAAGCCTTGCAACTGGTACAAGGTGTTAGTAAGTCCACCCCAACTGCTATGCATAACCCTTCACTACAAGCCTTGCTTTGTGTCTGTAATTGAACCATCAGGATTCAATTTCTTTTATAAATCATTTCACGGATAATCTTTCTTTTGGCAGGTTGGTTACTAGTTCCCAGGTTGCATTCTTCTAATCATGTCAAGTTCTTCATCCATTGCTGCCTTCCACTCTTAACTTTGGCTGCTTCATAATACATGTTGGTTCCATCAAGGCCAAGTTACATCTGTCAAATTTGAGCCAAAGGTCTAGTTCCCCTAATTGAAGAATCGCTTCAGAATCAGAGTGGAATCTGGATGATCTGAGTAGCTATTAAGTCTCCTCCTTGTTCTTGCATATTACTCCCTTCAATCTCATTTTTGTCCTAGTTCCACAGCCCTTCTTCATTACTTTTACATCACGGTTAACCAGGAATTTTTTGGTCTTAGGATGTAAATCTATATGCTTTGGATAAGTGCTATAACCAACAAAAATTCCAGTTTCAGCCTTCTCATCCAGCTTACTCCTCTTGTGGCTGGAATGTGAGCATAACAAATGCTTCCAAAACCTTTGAGGTGGTTGATGCTTGCTTTACCCATACCAAGCCTCAAATGGTGTTTGTTACTCAAGGCTTGGTTGGCAGACCTGTTGAGAAGGTAAATTGTTGTATTACAGCTTCAGCCCAGAAAACTTTCGGAAGTCTCTTTTCAAACAGCATGCACCTTGATTTCCATTACAGTTCTGTTCTTTCTTCACTCAAACCATTTGCTGTGGTGTGTAAGAGAGCTCAGTTGGTGCTTTATTCCAGACCCTACACACAGTTTTGAAATTGATTTGAGGTATACTGAACCATTGTCACTCGGATGGTTTTCAAACTCAAACCAGTTTCATTTTCCACCATTGCTTAAACCCCTTAAACATTGCAGCCACCTCACCTTTTTGTTTCGAAAGTAGACCCAACACAGCCTGGTGAAATCGTTTATAAACAGCGAGAAAATACCGTTGCCTTTCAGAGAGGACACCTGCATTGGACCACACACATTTGTGTGTATAAGCTGAAGCTTTCAGCAGCTCTCCAGGATTGTTTTGCTGGAAATGGTTGCCTACTGATTTTCCAGTTGGCAAACTTGACATACTTTCCTTTCCTCAATTTCGGGCATACACTGAACAAGTTCTCTCCTCCTCATTTCCTTAAGATGAATAATGATAATGCCCAGTCTTTTGTGCCAAGTTTCAGTTTCAACACATTTTGTAGACAAGGCATGCAAGGCTGAGTTTTTCCATTCAATTGGAAAACTTTTTCCTAGCATTTTCACATTCATCAATTCATTCCCTAAGTTGTCAATACAATGCAGACATGTTTGAAAATGTAGGGAATAGTTTTTCTAGCATTTGACACACTCAGCAAGCTTTGGTTGATTTCGGGTACATAAAGACATTTGTAAATATTGGTGCCTATGTAGTTGGGGACAGCAACCTTACCTCTTCCTTTAACTTCCCAAATTCTCCATTGCCATCTTGACTTTGGAGTGAAAGAGTCTATCAATGCCACAAAACTTGACAGATTTGGAGTCATGTGGTTTGGCAACCACTATCAATCAGCCATACATCATCACACTGTTGTGTGGTGTGCTGAAGCCATGAAGAGTTGTTCTGCTTCTGGATTTGTTGCTGGACCCCACCACTGCAGCCTGCTACTCACTGATTTCCTTGCTTTACAACTTTTCTATGTGTCCATACTGCTTGCATGACCTGCATTGTATGCCAAGTCTGAACCAACACTTATATTCTGGAGATTCTTCTTTTTGCAGTGCACAATGGAGGAAATGATCTTTGTCCACCCCGTTCCCTCCTTGATTGTAGCTTTCTCTTTTCTTTCTTTTCACCACTAATTTCTTGTCTTCTCTTCCTTGTACTCTCCTTTTTGACCTACATACATGGCTGTCTCAGTTGAGTCTTCTTGCCTCAGCTGCCTTCTTTGTTCCTGGGCTTGAAGTGAATGAACCAACTCAGCCAAGCTGAGCGGACAGATCTTTGGAGTCCTCTAGGACGAAATTTTTGCTTCAAACCTCTCAGGTAAGCTGACCAGGACCTTCTCCACCCACTCTTGGTTGGTTAGTTTTCCCCTAGCAGCTTGATTTTGTTCACCACAGCCATGAGTCCGTCCACTATTCCTTGACAGATTATGTCTCTGCATCTTGAGTACTTCAAATTCTCTTCTCAAGTTTAGAACTGCATATTTCGTTAGTTACTCCCTCCAAACTCCTCCTTGAGGTGTCCCAGGCTTTTAGGTGTCTCACATGCCATGATCCTAGAGAAGACCTGATCTATCCACGGCGAATGTATACAAGATATGCTCTAGAGCTTTGGCTGCTTCTTCTTCATGAGCTCTTATCTGGTTCAGCGTTGGGGTGGTCCAAGATGGGGAACTTGCTCTCCTCTTCCACAATTGCTACAGCCATGGCCCTCAGATATGTTTTCATCTTGACAGCCCAAACATGGTACTAGTCACCGTTGAAAACTAGAGAAGAGATTGGAGCAAAACTGGGTGCCATGGAGAAACTTTTTGAGTTAGTATTCTGGTCCTGAAAGATCAAGAAGGTTTGATACAAATTGTAGGTTTCAGGGTTCTAAAGCTAAGAGAAATAAGGTTATTTGTGCATGAGAGAGAGCTAAACAGAAGAGAAAGAACTGATACAAAAACAGTCTGCGTTTTTCATTCAAAGCAGAGAAATATATGAACCTAATACATCACGTTACAACTACTTTTCAGTATAAATAATCTTAAATAACTATAATGAACCACTCTTAACAAACACAAAATTCACTGAGATTTGTGGCTTAATCACGGCTGTCTCACCTAAACATCATTCAAATAAATTCCAAAAAAGGATGGGAACTGCACATGACAGAACAGCCCTTTAATTCAAAAAACTGGCGCCCAAACTTTCAAACCAACCAGCAAAATGATTTCCAGCAAAATATCATTACTTCAACAGTTTTAAGAAACTTAACAGGTTTTTTTGTCTATCAATCTGAGCTGGGAATCGTAACCATGCGGAGTATATCACTGATCTTCAATAGTTATCTGGGGAGAATGTATGGTCAATTTGCTCACAGTAGTTTGATATTCTACCATATGTTTCTTGGACGTTAGGGTACCCGCCACCTCTGATCTTGTTCTGTAATGCCACCAGTCTTCCAGAAAAAACATCCATCAGTGTAGTTTTCCCAGCTCCACTAACACCCACAAAGCCGTAAGAATCCAGGCTAAATGCAACGTAATATCCTGAAGAAGCTGTAGCCTTTTTCTCTGGAAACCTTGATCCGCAGTTTCATTATATTCATTCCAAGTATAACCGAAAATCTGGGGACTAGGCAGTGATGAATAAGTAATTACCTTGGGAGTATCAGCAAAGTATTGCCACGTTCTCAAACGTTAATGTTAAGGGCTTAAAAGGTAAAGCCATTCTGTAATAAAAAGTTAGTCAGATTTGATACTGCATTTCCCAGAAACACTAGAAGCTAATCCATCTACTTTGTGAATCGAATAAATCTCTCTGTACATTTACATAACATATTATTAGTTCTTCACCTGGGTTTTGGTATCCGCTGCACTTTCCATACGTCGACTGAAGGCAATTCTTTTTCCTCAGTTGCATTACCCAATTTATCTACCAGCTGTTATGAGAAATGATAGTCTGGGATCTCCCTGGAGCTGCAATATTGAATTTTCACCAAACATAAGTTAATTAGAAACAGAGGAATTGAATGCAATACTTCACATCAATTTTTTTTCCATTTTTAAATATCGGGGGGCAGGAAATTAATAACTTACGTTCCAGATAAGTTGGTGCCAGGTGAAACCAATGTTGAAAATTATCCAGAACCCAAGCAATGCTCCAATTGATATCACTAAAAGTAGTCACTGAAGTTCAGTTCATGTTTAACAGAACTTGATGTCCAATGGTAGATTTAAAGATGAAACCTGTAATGATACTGTGATGTTACAGCTTTACCTATCTCAATCTGTCTTCTGTTTAATTATTAGTCACACAAAGTTTTTCTCAAGTTATATGGTGGCATATGTCCAAACTAGTATTTTACAAAGAGCCAACAAGGAATCCATTAATAACCGGCCGTTTTGATTTAGATATACCATAATGGATAGTAGAATGATGTGATAAATGATACAAAAGCAGTAATTCCGTGAAACATTACTTAGGAGACAAACTTTTTAATAGTGGTATACTCTATTAATTAGCGGTTGGAGTTTTCACCTTTTGCCATTTGAAGAAAGGAATTCATTGATTGAAACACATTTCTTGCATAGCAAGGAGAAATCCAAAAACCCCATCCCAACCAAGCAGGTAGAGAAGCTGTTGCAAGGAAAAAACTATAATTTGGTTGATTGTCTTCTCTTATTGGTTATGATCTAAATATATCTTTGTATTTTAAATAAAGGCCCAAAACACAGTTGAAAAGTATTTGGTTTCTAGTTTTTCATAAACTGGAGGGTCGTGCTCATCAAACTCTTGGCCACGAATCCTCAAATTCAAATTGCAAGGCACAGAGATATGCATGAGCTCAAGCTATCACCCGCAGTGACGGTCAATCCAAGTCAAATTCAGATCAAATCCAACATACTACCAAAGACTCACGGTCTTCCTCTTCAAAAGTCCACAGTCTAGGCCGAGTTTACTCTTTGTTCACTACTGTAATAAAATTTGGGTAATAAGTGATATTTTAAAAGTTTGTGGGTAGAAATGTTTTTAAGCCATTATTTGGGTGGAAAAAAGTCATTAACTCAACAAAATATATGCAATCTGTAAAATACAACATTATAGATTTGTAATCCTGAAAAAGAATTGATTACATTATAAATTACAAGGTATATCGAAGCCATGAACATGATATGTAATGATCTTACTCCAAATTGTATCACAAAATTGTTTTATAACTCTCAAACCCAAAACTCCATTCTTTTTATGTGCTCAAGTTGAAGAGCTGAGCTTGATTCTGTTGA